TGAGATCATATGGTATTTGTCTTTCACCACCTGGCTTATTTCACTCAGCATAATGTTCTCCAGTTCCATCCATGCTGTCACAAAGGGTAGGAGCTCCTCTCTCTCTGCTGCATAGAATTCTATTGTGCAAATGTACCATAGTTTTTTGATCCATTCATTTACTCATGGGCACCTGGGTTGCTTCCAATACTTGGCTATTGTAAATTGTGCTGCTATGAACATTGGGGTGTATAAAACTGTCTTGTTCCTTAACACATCCTTGATTTTTAATAGTCACACTTTTAAAAAATGTTTTAAAGACTAGGATAAAGGATAATATTTACAAACAGAATTTAATTCTGATCGAATACATCTCATACACAGTAAGAACCATATTAACTTCAATGACTGAGACGGGAAATCCCAGAATTTCTCTTGGCAACCATCACAAAACTTATTTTAAGCTTTTAGACCAGGATTAGTCAGACGCAACACTACTGACATTTTGGGCTGGGCAATTCTTTGTTGTGGGGGGTTATCCTCTGCATTGTGAGATGTTTATCAGCAAACTTGGCCTCTACCCACAAGATGCCAGTAGCAACCTTGCCCCCACCCCCACCCAGTCTGACAACCCAAAACAGCTCCATACTGCTAGATGTCCCCATGGTGAGGGGGACCACCCTTGTTATGGTTAAGATTTGCGTTAACTTGACCATACACATGCACTCACTCGCATCCTGTCTGGTTGTCTCTCTGGAGAACCTTAACACATCCTGGCTGAGAAATACTGTTGCAGATTATGTTACCAGAGGAGAAACAGCAGGGAATAGGGGAGGAAACAAAGAAGCAAAGAAAGAAACTTCTGGGGAATGACTAGATATTACCTTTCTTTCCAGAGACAGTAGTTGGATTGTGGTTGATAAGAACTGAGCTCACTAGTACACTGCACATCCAACATGTTACCTGGCACAGAGATTACTCACCTCAACACTAAGAAGGCATTTGGCAGACACTACTGTAAAGTAAGAACACATTCTATAAGCTGAGCTAATAAAATGCTTATGGTCAAATCGCATCAATTTATTTGTCATGATAAAATACATGAAATCCACTATTTTCACTGCATACAAAACTTTCTAAAAGAATGTTTCTGAAGCAAATTCACAGTACATTAGGTGAAAGAGTTTAACCATACAATATATTGTTGATTTCAGTCTCCTAAATTTTGCTATGTGTTACTTGCAGTTTGAAGATTTCTTCAGTGGGCCTTTGTTATTGTACAAGTTTTTGAAATCCAAGTTTCTTTGAAAGCATTTTAAGTCAACATGTAATCTAATCTGACTAAATGATTTTATTTGGCACAAAAGTAAAGAGTCGATGATAGTTCATGTCTGTTGCACTGGAGCAACATCTACTAAGTCATCAAGTGTAGCAAGGATACATACAGAAGCACAATGGATTCTTCGAGGTCTTGAAGACAAAAGTCACAGTGTGTGATTCCCTGTATTTAAGACGTCCAGTTTGAGGCTGTGTAATGGCACCACTTTTCAAAACGTCTAACCACACAAGCACAGAATTACAGCAGAGAGTAATCATTTACAGATTTCACTATAGGAATTTAAAAATTAATTATAATAAAATTACATAGAGATACATTTAGTTTAAAACATACGAAGTCACAGATACATTATGAAAACTTCTCATTTGGCCTATTCTTACCTCAATTACTACAGAAAATCAATATTTATCAACGATATGAGTTACAACATCAAGAATATGCCCATGCAAATAAACATTACACATTTTTGGGGGTTCTTTTTCCATGATTAATATGTATTTCCTTCAGTTTTAAGTGAAGCCCTTCCATTACTATTTAAACAGAGCATAATGAAGTACTATGTTATAATCCCCACTCCATTTCTTTTCTCCATCTACTTTTTAGATGATCTACTCCAAAAAAATAAAAATATTTCTACTATTGCTGTTCTTCCTTTTCCTAGGTGTAAATAATACGTTGGAAAGAACTTTCAGTAAAGTTGAAATTGGCAAGGTTTTATTCCCCAAAATGCAAAAGAACTAATGGTGAAGTCTAAAGAAAAATTCTAATGACTAAACTATAGTAGAATAAGAATTTTGTCAACACTTTTTTTTCTAGAATATTTGTAAAAAAATAAGACTTTTATCAATTAATCATTGAGTATTAAATAGTATATGACTGCTTCTGGGTTGGAATACTGAAGTTAACAGGTTTAGCCTTAGAATACATGTAGTTTTCTTTATATGATTGATTTTTACCAATAATACTAATAGCTTAACATGATTTTAATACAAATCCTCACAACACCCCTGTGAAGTAGGGATTGCTTATACCCACTTTGCAGACAGGAAATCAGAAAATCAGAGCAAGAAATAATCATCTCAAGAGATAAATACAAATCGGGACATTCTGGTTTTCTTATAAGGCAAACTGAACTTACCAGATACTGATATGCTAATAAAGACAAATACTGAAATCATCTGTTTTTCTCCAGGAACAACTTCTTCTTTGCAGAAGAAGGGAAAGTTCTAAGCTAATCCAAGGGGAAAACGTCTGTGTAGTAGTTGCCTGATACACTGATTAAGGGGCATATAGCATTTCCAGTTTTTAGAGTTTGGTAATAATTATTCAAATATTCTGCATGGCTAGGGTACTTAGTTCCATTTTAAAAGCAGATGATTAGTCAAAACTAAAGAGTTAAGCTGGAAGAACATTTTTTTATACAAATCAGATTTAGTAAAAAATCGTATCTTAAAAAATATACTTAGGGCACAGTGTTAGTCATAACAGTTATTTTTCAAATATGCCTGCTGATGAATGGAAAAAGATAAACTAGGTCAGTCCCTACACCACTATTCACTGGTTCTCCAGAACCCAGCTTCGGGGATTTTTTTATATTGATATAAAATGGAGTTAACATTTTGCCACTTCCTAAAACAGAGAGAATATCATGAAGACTAAGGAAAGAACATTTGTTTTGAATTCCTAATATTAAAAATAAGACTAAAAGTACAGTTAACCACTACTTTATCAACACCCAACAAATGTAGATATATTTCTGCTTTAAATTAAGGTTATCGGTCACAGCCAACTAGCCACAGGCAAACTTCTACCATTTACCCAGACCCGGCCCCCAACCCCGTCCTACCCCACAAGCCCTACGTACCCATATTCACACAAACTTCTTGTGTCAAGGACCGATGACTGAGCAAGTAGTAAAGAACGGAGAAAAGTCAGAAAAAATAAGAGACATAATAAATAATAAAAAGGAGAAAAAGAAAATTTCACTTGAAGATGGCTAGGGCACATATCTTGAAAAGCCTAAAACACATGAAAATCAATGTTACTATTTGCGCTCATCCTATGAGATGAAATATTTGAGGGCAGTATGAGTTAGAATAATTGCTTAGATGATGTAAGTTTAAGATTAGATGAAGTTCTGATCCCAAAGAGCAACACATTTATTTTAACCACTCCCAATACAATCAATCCTCTAGCCATAGCTAGAGTTCACTCTCAGGATGTATCGGTCTTGACCCCAAGAGGCTTTTACTCACTTGTGTAAGGTAGAAACTCCACTGCTGTAGACAATGAATGCCCAATGGTTTTCTGCATCCAACCCTCAAGAAAAACTGACCACTTCGTAATTCAGCTAACCTCAGTCTGCCCGGAGAAAACCTGGTGCCCTTCGAATGAGCTGATCACTGGTTGAGCTCCCTCCTGACTGAGCTCTCACTTGGTCAGAGAACTCTGAAGTTGTCAGGAAACGGCCTCGGAGTGTGCAGTCAGGAAGGAGCTGAAGGAGTTTTTCCAAGCCGCGCAAACCAAATTCATCCTAGTTATTAAATTGTCTGTGAGGCTTAGTATTTAACAGACAGCATGCAGAAAAGATGAGGCTGTTTTGAAGCCTCTCTCCTTTATTATTCTTGACTACCTAGTATTAGATACTTAAACATTTCAGAAACAATTTAGACCTATCCTTTGTGATGAGGTTTGATCAGCTCTTTCCTAGCTGCTAAAGCAGGAGAATCTACCACTGAGTACGTAAATTTTAATTTTTCTGGGGTTTTAATTTTATAAGTTTCACCACTATAAAAGGAAGTTAAAAAAGTTTATTCACAGAGAAAAATCTATCAAAGATTTCAAACAGAGTTCTAGGACATTGACTCTTATCTACTCTGCTGGTTTTATGGATCAAAAAAAAAAAGTGAGAACTGTCACTGAAAGATTGCTTTTACACATGATTGTAAGACGATTAATTTTAACTGAGGGAGCCTAGAAATCCTCTGACACTGAGGGTATAAGGAGAATATGTATTTTAACATTTTCCTTTTTAAACCCATGTAACTTCCGGTCGTAAAAAGAAAAAAGAACCTGAAATTGTTCTTAAGGTCTTTTAGAAAACACATTAGATAAAGACGATTGCCCTGGAGGGTCCGGTCATCACAGGTCCGTCTCAGCCTCTGCCCCTGTGTGCTCACCTGTGGGTACGCATCTAAGATTACTCTCTTTAGGACTGTTTATGTCTGACTCTTGTCCTTTTCTCTCTTTTTTACTAAAATGTGTTTTACTAAAAATGAGGTATGCTCACAATGTCAAAAGATAAATAAATGCTATGTAAGATGTTGCAGAGCTAGTTAAGTAAAACATAATTTTAAAACTACTCGTGATTTGGTATAGCTATGCTTAAAACAAATTTTTATATATTGTAATACAGTTATGCATTAAAATAACTACTAATTTCCTAAATGGCAGAAAATATGATTACATAATCCTCATACAAGCTTATTCCTGTGAAACATTAGTCAAAAGTGACAGTCCGAAATATTCTTTTAAAAATAGTTCATTTGCTTCCTATTAATTTGATTTTACTGATTCTACAACCTGGAAAAACTTTAAAATTCTATAAATAACTATTTACTCTGAAGTTCCATATTATTACAATGATTTTTTATTTCTAGGTTGTGAATTAATTTATGAAAAGTTCACAGTCCTAATTGAAGTTTATTTTAATAGCCATGAATTAATACCTCACAATAAGTAGACCTAATAAATACAGTGTTAAGACTATGGATAAATGGTAAAGGAAAAAGTCAGTAAACTTGAGGAGGAAAATAATTTGTGAATCAAAAAACACATATGAATTTATCAGAATGGATATGAAAACTCTGAAGGAGAAACTGCTACTCAACTAGGATAGTGTCCACATTTGCTTGTGTGAGCTCGGAATCTAAGGCACAAGATGAGTCTAACTGCTCCTGCGACAAGCGGGAACTTTTCAGGGGGACATCCGACCAGCCATCGCAACATGGCTGGAATCTCTGGGCTAACGCATTACCAAACCTTTGGCATCGGTTATGTCTGAAAGATTTACCTTTGTGTGAATACATGTGTTCCAGCAATTGGCTCTTTCGGAGAAATTTATGACCACAGATGGTACAGCTGATTTTTCTTTTCCTTGAAAAAGAAAAATTACAGTTTAATTCTACTGGCTCTGTGTCTTTGGAGATCAAAGACACTTGACTGATCTGTAAAGGCTCTGTGGTCCCACAGTTTGAATGGTCAGGCTGTTGCTCATTCTCCTTGACAATGAAGGAGCCGAGCCTGCGGCATTCAAGAGCTTCGCTATTTTCATTAAGTGGATGCACTTCACCAAGGTCATTACTTTCCAAAATGGAAGCGGGGACACCAAATGGCAGGGATCCAGACACATGGGTATGGAGATGTTGCCTTAGGTTACCACGGGAATCAAAACGTTCTCCACAGTAATGGCATAAGTGAATTTTGATACTACTTTCCGTGAAAGTGGGGCCTGTCATCTCGGATGAGGATGAGGAATGGCTCTGGGGGATCACAGATTCCGGGTCACATCTTTCCTGCTTTATGGACACGGGAGGCTTCTGGTGTCCCTCCAAGGCCTGGGCAGCAGGATGGGCCCTCTGCTGGTCAGCAGTGCCGTCATCCAGCCCAATAGCGAGAGAAAGCTGTAACTGGGGGTGTTCACCCTGGACAGAGGCTCTGTTTCCACCGTTATTGGAAGGCGCTTCTTTGACCTCCAGCGCTTGTTTGACAGCTGTTTTGTGGGTTGTTGAGATTTGAATGCCATACAAATTTGAGGACTGCACAGTCTCTGGTGAGAACACTTGATTCATTTCAGTTGCAATGTGAGAAAGGTAGTCGGCGTGAAGAAACCGAATCCCTTCCTCCAAACGGTTGTGATCCACAATCTGTTTTGGCCCTTTCCCGGTGTACATAATGTGCAACAAATAGCTGAATATGTCAGGTTGGATGTCAGTTGGTTGTATTTTTATGCATTCACTGTTAAAAACAAAAAATAGACTCACACAAAATGAAACAACCTACTTGGCCTTTTAGTTAACAGTATACAGTCTCAGGCTAAAGCAAAATTTTCCTAAGAAGTTCAAACGTAGCAATCTGACTTGATGAAACACAGAAAAAAGGCTTAAACTTTCACTGTATACCAGTTGATGGCCCAGCAACAAGTCTTCATGTATCCGATCTACACCTAAAGTTAGGAAACAGATATTCTCATTTGTTCAACAGTTATGTAGTGATTCCTAAGTGATACTAGCTGCCAGGGAGTTGAGAAATTATGAATAAAATAGGTACCCCACTCTTATAGAACTTAACAATCTATGTAGCCAAAAGAACCAAAACCAGAAACTTGAACAAATACCCATACACCAACTTCAATACAGCATTATTCATTATTAGCCTAAAGGTAGGAACAACCCAAGTGTCCATCAACAGATGGACAGATAAACACAACATGGCTTATACATACGATGGAATATTATTCAGCCACAAAACAGAATGAAGTTCTGATACATGCTATAATATGGATGAATCTTGAAAACATTATGCTAAGTGAAATAAGCCAGACACAAGAGGACAAGTTTTGTATGCCACTTATAAAAAATAACAAAACAAACAAGTAAGCAAAACAGAACCAGAGACACTGAAATAAAGAACAAACTGGCAGTAACCAGAGGGGAGTGGGGAGGGAAATAACATCAGAAAGAAGGGGAAGGGTCACGAATGATGTATATAAAGGACCCATGGACAAAGAAGCCAATGGGGGTAGGATCAAGGGCAGGAGGTGAGGATGGGTGGGGCAGGGAAAAGTAGTGGTGGGAAAATGGAAACAACTGTATTAGAATATTAATGAAAATGACTTAAAAAAGAGAGATACCTAGAATGGACAAATTCATAGAGACAGAAAGTAGTTTAAAGGTTACCGGGAGCTTGTTGGAGTGATGGTGGTGGTGAGGAGTTATTACTTAATAGGTACGGTTTCTGAAGTGATGAAGAGTTTTAGAAATCAATAGTGGTGATGGTTGTACAACAGTGTAAATGTAATTAATGCTAATTAATTGTATAATTAAATGTGGTAAAAACAAATTTTATATTATATATAGTTTATAACAATAAACATTTAAAATTAACAATAAACATATTAAAATTCAAGAGTGTATTGAAATTGGTAATATTTAGAATTTGAATTACATTAACCTTATTTTGTCTTCCAAACTATATTAACATATCTACTGTTTAAATCACAAATGAATATGGGGATAATGTTGAAAAGCTTTAATATAAGCCCCAAGCCTATTTTTTATGTATGAATCTAGAAATCAGATAATAAATGGAAATAACTGTGTAACAAGAAATCAGGAAACACCCTGAAAATTCAGGATAAAGACACTCTGAAGGAAGCACTGGATGTCAGGGAACAAGGAAATCAGTCAGTGGACGTCCCCGCAACAGAAGTCTGTGTGAGTGCATCAGAAAGCACTGAGGGTCAGTAGGCAGACCACCCACTTCCTGAGTCCTGTTATCTTGGGATTCTTTCTTGGGCTTCGCTCTTAGCTCTGACCCACCCACTTCCACGGTCTGTGGCAGGGTTTTTTTTTTTATATCAGCAGAGTTCTGTTAACTAAGGATTTTCAGTTGCTCAACAGATACCACATGGCAGGCTGCCACCTTTGTATTTCCTGGGTTTAGCACGGTGCCCAGCCCACAACAGGCGCTGAACCAACTCACAGCTCCCAGACGAGACTGATGTGAAGACAGTGTTTCTAATGCAGTGTCTGCACTGACACAGGTCAGAGGGGGAACTTTCTGACCTGGCCGAAAGGCTGCCCATTACCTGTCCCCCACTCTATCCTCTCTACCTTGTGCCACGCCTTCCAATCATTCTGATCTAGCCTGGTTCGTATCTGCCTGTTGTCATGCACATTTTCCTCTACCTTCAGTGAACTTTCTTGCATTACTCTTCAACACCTGAAAAACAATTCCTGATCCTTAAAGATCCAGGACCTCTATAATACCTGTTCCAACCTTCTCAAAATAAGGCTACTGACACTTCACTTTACCTTGTGCAATACTTATCACACTAATTATTATTTTAAGAGTTTTATTTATTTCTTTTTAGAGAGAGGGGAAAGGAAGGAGAAAGAGAGGGAAATGTTAATGTGTGGTTGCCTCTCATGTGCCCCCTACCGGGGACCTGGCCCACAACCAAGGCATGTGCTCTGACTGGGAATTGAACTGGTGACCCTTTGGTTTGCAGCCTGTGCTCAATCCACTGAACTACACCAGCCAAGGCTTATCACACTAATTATTAATAACATCAGCTAATGGCACAAAGCTCCTGTTCTAAGCATCTGAATATTACTAATCCATTTAATCTTCTCAATATCATGGGTGGGTATACTATTCTAATGTTTTACAGAGAAGGAAACTGGGGCACAAAGAGATCAATTACACTGCAATTATTTTCTTTACGTGTATTATCTCTCTGTTAGACTACAAGTTTCTTGCAGGCAGGGAGTATAACTTATCTGTTACTGGGGTCTGGTACAGTGACTGATATGTAAGTCTTCAATCAATAGTTCAGCCCTGGCTGGTGTGACTCAGTGGACTGAGCCCCGGCCTTACGAACACAAGTACTGCCAGTTTGATTCCCCATCAGGGCACATGCCTGGGTTGCGGGCCAAGTCCCCAGTGCAGGCGTGCGAGAGGCACCCACACATTGTTTCTCTCTATCTCTTTCTCCCTCCTTTCCACTCTCTCTAAAAATAAATAAATAAAATCTTTTAAAAAAATAGTTGAATAAATGAACAATTTAAAAAATGTATAATTAAGCCCTGGCTGGTGTAGCTCAGTGGATTGAGCGCCGGCCTGCAAACCAGACAATCGCGGTTCGATTCCCAGTCAGGGCACATGCCTGGGTTGCAGACCAGTTCCCTGCAGGCCAGTTCCCAGCAGGGGACGCATGTAAGGCAACCATACATTGATGTTTCTCTCCCTCTCTCCTTCCCTTCCCCTCTAAAGATAAATAAATAAAATATTTTTAAAAAATGTATAATTAAGGCTGGAATCCTAAGTATTTCATGTAGGGTCCTTTTAAAAAACATAGTATTCTATCACTTTCAACCTAGGATGGATTGAAGCTATTTTTTACCAAGAGCTCAGAATCTGAATACCACTTCCCAGCCCTCCCCCTACATACCTACCATGCTAGGGTAACACACATTCAAAAACTTTTTGAAAAAATATTTAAAACAAATGACCTTTCAACTGTAATAGGAAATATAAGGTGGGTAGAATTATGACTGAAACCTTCTATGAAAGCGTTATGGAATAGAAATCAATAACTTACTAATTAAGAGCACAGAACTTAAAGAGCCCGGATCTACTTCTGAGTCTAACTTAGTAGCTGTATAATCCAGGATAGGCAAGTGATGTAATAACTGAGTCTCAATTTCCTTTTCTCTAAAATAGTATGACTTGGCTGGTGTAGCTCAGTGGATTGAGCGTGGGCCTGCAAACCAGACAATCGCGGTTCGATTCCCAGTCAGGGCACATACTGGGGTTGCAGGCAGGTTCCCTGCAGGCCAGTTTCCAGCAGGGGGCGCAAGAAAGGCAACCATACGTTGATGTTTCTCTCCCTCTCCTTCCCTTCCCCTCTAAAGATAAATAAATAAATAAAATCTTAAAATAAATAAATAAAATAAAATAGTATGGACAACAGTAGAATTTACAACAGGTATGAGATAAGCCTTCAATAAATTTGAACCATGATTGCGTTTATTCTTATGGATCCTCCACAATGCATTTAATTACTAATATTTAAATATATACATTACAATTTTTTCTTAAGGTGACGCCATAACGAAGAATTCTTCCAAATGATGTTATAAGAAGGTTTAGACATGCCATAATATTAAAACTCTTCTGATTTACCAAAGCACATCCTTACCTTGTTTGATGAATAAATATCATCTTAAAGTAGTTAGAAAAAGCAGCAAGCACTGCTCTGTGGGCTTTGAAGTAAACATCTCCAATAGCAACTGTGCAGTCACACAGAAAACCAAACTCCCGTTGCATGTTCAGCTGCTGCAGAAGGACAAGGCTATGGCTAGCGGTGTCCATTGTGGCTCTGAATAAAAGGAAATAGAAAGATTTTTTTCTTTTTACAAAATTGGCTACATTTCACACAAACCTCCAGAGTACAAAAAGACCTGAATTTAAATGGAACTATTCGATCATTTTTAAAAACTCTATTTTCAACTACATTGTGTGTTCAGTACTACTTTGTATTAGTTTCAGATGTACGGCATAGTGATCAACAATTTTCTATACTATTAATTTCACCCCAAACCTAGCTAACCCTGAATCTACTTAACATGACAATCGATACCAACTCCACTGAAACCATAAATATTTATAGCTTTTTCCCCATCTGGTAAGAACATACTTGGTATGAGTGACACAGGAGCAAAAGGAAGGCCTGTCCTTTTTTTAAATACATGCAACCACATGTTTTTAGTCCTCAGTTTCACTGGAGAAATGGGAATGAGACATTGATCCTTGCTTCAGAGCTAAATAAGTTAGGTGAAAAGCACCTTGTAGTTTTTTTAAATATTTTTTAAAGATTTTATTTATTTACACCTAGAGAGAGGGGAAGGGAAGGAGGGAAATATCAATGTGGTGGCCTCTCAATGAGCTGTCCACTGGGGACCTGGCCTGCAACCCAGGCATGTGCCCTGACTGGGTATCGAACTGGCAACCATTCGGTTTACAGCCTGCACTCAATCCACTGAGCTACACCAGCCAAGGCAAAAAGCACCTTGTAATTGAAATGGCTATTCAAATGTTAGCTACAAATGTTAATAACATAACAGTGTGTCCTGGCTGGGCTAGAGATGTCACTGCCTCTTAGTGATCCTGTGTGCTTAGAGCACACTGACCTCCTATCATACAATGTTTGGGAAATTTACCAGTCACAGTAGGGTCAGGAGCCCCTAAAACAGACATCAAGCCACATCCCCTGATTTACATGGGGCCTGGGAGCCACATGGGAAAGACCCTAAACCCTGAACTAAACTGGATTCAGACATATAACAAGTGTGTAGGTCTTGAAAGAAGTAGAATGCAGGACGATGCATTGGCCTCAGGGAGGAAAATCATGCATGAGGAAGAACATGCAAAAGAATTCTGGCAGAGAAGTCCAGTGTGAGTACAAGGACATTCAAGAGTGCTGTGGTTTCCAAGAACCGGGAGGCTGTGCTTCATCACCTTCTCCACCCCCACTGTGCAGACTGCAGAGAACTCTGGTGCTTTGGCACAGCGGGTATCACTGTGGGGTGGGAGGACCTCTTCTTAAAAAGAGAATGAAGTCTCCTTACTTGCCAGAAAGACCAAGGGGTAAGGAAGGTAGTGATTAGAGTATGGGGTTAGCAGGCTGGACACTGGCATTAGCTTTGGCAACAGACAGCTGAGTGATTGATAATAAAATAAAGATAGCTAACACTGTATAGAGCTTCCTACTGTCAAGCAATTCTCACTCATTTAATTTGCAGTACAACCCCATGAGAAAGGGAATACTCAGTGAATCTTACAAATGAAGAAACTGCATCAGCACAGAGAGTTGGTTTACTCAAGGTCACCCTGCTAGTAAGTGGCAGAGCAGGGATTCAGACTCAGGCACTAGATTCCAGGACTCAAGTGTCCCCTCCCTCTCCATCCCTCTCCCTCCCAGGGAACATGACAAACTGACTGAAGGAGCCAGGGAAATGGTCTGGATTACACATCAAGGCATTCCAGGAAACCTAAGGAATATCTGGAGTAAAATATTTGCTTCTAGGAAGGAAAATAAAGAGCAGGGAGTGAAGGATGGAGGGAGCTGTACTGTTTAACTTGAAAAACCCTCTTATGGAAGTTTTATTTTATAAATACATATCTACATGTACTCCTTTCCCCCTCATTTTTAAAAATTATATTTCCAGTAGGTACAGGGAACAATGTAACAAACACTTACCCACTCCTAAGCACAGAAAGTGAACAAGGCAGAGACCCCTGGCACCTCCCTCATTCTGTGCCTCCCACTGCCTTGCCTCCAAAGGTAACAGCCATCTTGAATTGGTGTTTATGGCTCTCCTGTATACTGTCACGTATCACAGCATATGTATGTATCCCTCAAGAAGGTATGGTACTGTTTTGCATGTTTTAAAGTTTTGTATATATAGAAATATACTTTAGGAATCCTGCAACTTGCTTAATTCTACATTCGTTACTTTTAAAAATCCTACTTACTCAAAAATAATTTTCCCCAATTAAAAAAAACAAAAAGAAAACTCTTACCCTGTACATTCCCATTTTTAAAAGCCTTTAAGTAGCAATGAAATGAAAAATAACAAGATAACAAAACCTAAAGAGACTTGAGCCGACTGCTAAGAATATAAACAAGATCCAATTGTGGATATTGTTCCAGAAGGCCATTAAACCAAAAGTGATTACTTATTATATTGACCACATTTCTCTGATTCTAAAACACCCAATTTATAGGGAGACTAAAAAAACACACAATATAAACTCTATATTGATTTCAGTATGTGAAAAACGTGTCTTAGGATCAAATTGAACATGAAAATGGATCACATTGAAGTGCTTTAAACTAGCCTTACAAATTGTCTCCAAAAACCCCCTCAGATCATAAACATTTTCACCTGTTCTTTGTGTGTGTGGAGCACATTAGTATAATGGACTATTGACCATATGGAAATGCAAATGGCACACTAAAAAGCTAACCACATATTTAAAAAATCTTGTGGTTAATGGTCTATGAGTAATGGTTAAACTCACTTATTGAAAAACTACTTATTGAAGAGAAAATTAATAACAAAAATATTTGAAAGCATGCATTACACAAAACATGAGGACAGAAAAAATTACATAGATGATGCAATAAAGATTATAGGCTAATAGGGGAGATAAAACGGTAATTACAGCATGAAGTGGCAAGTGCCACAGAACAGTTTGGAGCACATGTTATGTGAGGGGGAGATAAGTAACAGATAAATACCAGGTGACTCAGTGGAAAATAAGCCATTTGAACTGGATTTAGATGAATCCAGGTGAACATAGCATTGCAGGGAGAAAAAAACAGAATGAGTGAAAGAACATGGAGTGGTATAAATATATGGATAACGGAAGAATTCAGTTTGGTACAGAAAAAACAAAAGTAAGTAATGAAATGGGGTTAGCTCACAAAGGGTGCTGAATGTAAAACTAAAAGGTGCTCCAGGGGTGTTTGAAATGGAGAACTATATGAAGATGTTTTCTGTGGGGGGAGGAAACAATGTAGTTAAGCTCAACCTCTGGAATCAGACGCCTTGGGTTAAAATTCCAGCTCTGCCACTTAGCTATGTGGTCTTCACAAGACACAACACTCTGGGCTTCTGTTTCACTTATAAAATATGGGCAATTTAAGTATCTACCTCACAGGTTGTTATACAGATTTGGTAAGATGATGCATATAAGCACTTAGAAATAGTGGGTACATAGTAAGTGTTCAATTAATAGCAATTGTCATCATCATCACCACCATCATTTGGCTTCTGAGTCAAATGGTCAGTCTAGTAGCAATATATTAAAAAAGATCAGCAAGGGAAAGGCGTGGAGAAATAAAGACCAGCAAGGAGACTGCTACAATATCCAAGTAATGGTACAAACGAAGGAAGAAATATGACATACCAGATTAACTGACATGAATTGGCAGGCAGGCTGGATGCAGTCAGCCACAGAGAAGACCAAGTCAAAGATGAGTCTCAGTATTCCAGCTTGGTTAATTGGAGGCATTTGTTCATTTCTTCAGGTCATTTTTGCACAGTAAGTGTCATGTGCTAGGTGTTGACATTTTTAAAAAAGCAGGGTCTCAGAATGCCAAAGAAGAGACGTGGAAACTGGATTGATAGGAGACAAGTTTCACTCTGGACACATTGAGTTCAAGGTGTTTACTCTAGGACATCTGAGTTTAAGTGTTTAGTGATCAATGAGGGGAAAATATGCTATTCTGGTGCTCTAGAGAGAGCAAGGCTGGAGAGGGAGAGGAGGTCCTCTGAAATGGTAAGGCCATTATCACCAGGAGTGAATGAGATTATTGAGTAAAATAACAAAAAAAGCTAAGAATAAACTCTTGAACAACACAAAAAAGATGCAGTAAGAGGGACAGGAGAAATAAGAAAATGTTCTGTCATTGAGTAAAGATAAGGGAGGTGAAGGAAAGGTGAGAACCTTGGCAGGAGGAAGTGTCAATGGTGGTTAATGCTGCAAAGAAACCCGTGGATGAGGCCCATTACAACACCCCCAAGTGTGTGACCAAGAGATTGCTAGTGACCTTGGAAAACAGCAAGGGCAAAGTATCCGACTGCAAGGGGGATGTCAGAAAGCAGCTGTAAGGGGTAGGTACAAACAGGACAGAGCGGTGAAGATGCTGCAGATTGAACACAGCTTTCAGGCTAAAGAGGACTGGAACCTCTAGAAGCCAGAAGGAATGCAGTCAGAAATGGAAGTACAGCAGCTAGCCAGGGAGAAGAGAGATTTTTTTTTCTGACAATGGAAAGGAAATGGGTGACTCAAGGACAGAGAATTCAAAAGTATTCTTTTAGATGGCACTGATTTACAAATTAGAAGTCAGTCCCTATGCACAGGGGTGTCTAGGCCTTGAAAGAAACGTAGAGCAATAATCCCTGATGCTGACACAGAACATTGAAGATTATAGAGAACTTCCACTTATACTTCTGCTTTAGATAATTTCTATTCATCTAACTTCAAGTTCACAGACTTCATTTCTAATCTATTAAACCCATTCGGTGAATTTTTTATTGCAGGTAGTATATTTTCAGGTCAAATTTTCCACCTTATTCTTTGTTAAATTTGTTTCTCTGCTGAGGTTTTCTACTTGTTCACTCATTATTTTGCTCTACATCCATGGGCACAGTTGTAGGAGCTGCTTTAAACCTCCTCTGCCAAAGCCAACCTCTGGGTTATCTTGGTGTCCCTTAACTAGTGTGGTAATTTCGTTTTTCCATATGTGTAGTCATTTTGGATACTATCCTAGACTTTCTGATTACTATAGTAGAGATTTGTGTTAGATTC